GACAGCTATCTTCCAGTTTCCTAACTCTTTCCTTGGAGTATGCAGCACTAGGAAGAAAACCTATATAGGACCAAAAGCTCTACAAAAACACTATGTGCATGTTCCAAAAGATGTCCATTTGCTTATTGAAAAATAAATAAGGGAGGGTTCAGAATTCACAAATATTGTCACTGGAAACCAAGGTCAAAATAATGCTATGTAAAAGAAAGACAGTTGAAAAAAGGATAATATTCAACTCATTTGAAGTGCAGTGTTGGAGGAGAGCCATACAGATATGAAAGACAGCCAGAAAGGCAGAAAAGTGGGTCTCAATCAAATCAAACATGAACTCTTACTACAGCAAAAAATGAGTAAACTGAGGCTGTCCTACCTTGCACAGATAATGAAAATACAGAACTCACCAGAAAAGACAATATTGCTGGGAAAAGAGGGGGGTCATTAGGGAGTGAGAACAACCTCTCTCTCTGGTTGTTGATTTGCAAGATCTGAGCAGAGCTGTTAATGATATGAAGTAACTTGATGGCACAGAAAAAATGTATGTGCCCTAAAGTCACTTTTTTTACTAATTTTTTAAAAACCAAACAATTGCATAGTGGCAAGAGGAGTGGAATGGTTGAGACTATAACAGGATATAGGCATAAAAGTTCTGCTAACATCAAGTAATACTGTCCCCAGCCACAAAGCAAAAAACTGTAATTTCACAGTTTAAATGATTGAGTTTCTGACTACCTTATTTTTCCACTTTCCCCTAAAATCATTAGAGGAAAAACTGAGGGTTGTCTTATACACAGAAGGAGGCGGAGGAGCAGCTGTGCTTGGCTCTCCCTTGTGGCTGCCTATTGACTGCTACTGCCGTTGCCCAATTGCCTGCTTCAGTGCCACTGCCAGGGCTCAGCAGCTCATGCTGCCGCCCTGCCCCCTGCCTGAAGGGAGCCTAGGAGCGATTGGGGTGGTGGTGGCTGCAGTCAATGGGCAGCCATGAGGGGCAACCAAGTGCAGCTGCTCCTTCACCTCTGCCTCCAGCAAGGATCAAAATTAGGAGTTGTTTTATACATTGGGGGGTCTTATATATGGAAAAATATGGTATTTGTTCTCTATCCATTTTCCAATATCTTTAAAAATATGTTTACAACCAGACACAGAATCCCTTTACAAGCAAAAATTCATGTTAGGTCAGGAAGAAGTTTTAAAAAATCAATTGGGTCCTGACTGACAGTTTCAGAAGCTCAGATTGCCCCAGACCTGGAGCTGATTTCCCCTTTGGAAACTCGTGTCAGGAGCCTGGTCTCAGAACTCTTGAGAACAGGTTTACCGAAAGCACTCGGGCTGAGACAAACAAGTGCTTTGTGCTTTTGTAATGTAGCAATACTTTGAATATGACATACTAAATTGTATGCTAATTCCCCTTTCTGAGGGACTGTCACTCCACTATTTTCTTTAAAGCAAGCCTGTCTTTTTTTCACTTTTCAAAGAAAACCTGCCTTTTGACTCTGTTTTTGTGACCTTCAGTTGCACTAAGTGATCTAAATAACTCCCTTCCCTGCCCGTGAAGCTGCAAAAAATGTATCTATTTCCCAAAGTTCTTGTTGGCTAGCTTGTTCAGTGTGATAAGGAATCAATGTTTCTCCCTTTCGAAAGTGATAGGAATAAATAAATAAATAAATAAATAAATAAATAAATAAATAAATAAATAAATTTCGAGGCCCAATATTTCAGCCCTTACTGCCTGGATTCCTTCCAAATGAAAAAAGTGAATGGGGCCAACCATTCCCTTTCAAGAGAAGTAAGACTGGTTTTTTTTCAATTTGATCTGTTTTGCCTATTAGTGAAAAGAAGGGCAAAAAAACCCTGTAAAAATTGTAATTCAAAAACCCCTTGCCCAAACTACCCCAAATTTGGCACAGATCAAGAGCGGACTGTCTGATATAACTGCCATATTTGGCATTGATTTGAAGCCCAGTTTAAAATATGTACTTGTGGGGTTTTTTGGCTGTCCCCATTTTTAAAATTGCCTTATAGACCACTGCCAACAAAAGACCACTGCTGCACTCTCAGGCATTAATAATAAATGTTGAGCTATTGCCCCATTGCCTTATTCCTCTTTCTGGCCATTCCCAAACTCTTGTGCTATTAGAATAGTAAGCCTGAGTGTGAGATGGTATTGAAGCCATACTAGGGGAGGGAAAGAATTGTAATTTGATAAAATGTATGACCAAGTAATATGGAGAGAGAAAAGAAGCCCCAAGAAATTTCCCTCCCTCAACTTTGTTTTGTCAAAATAATTACTCATAATCCTTATTTAGAGATAATTTCCACTTGGACTCACAGATCTGCTTTCAGACAAAGCATCTCTTGGGTATTTGCTGTACATGGTCAGAGGAGAAAGAATCCTATATTCAAAATAAAAGAAAAGTTTTTTTCCTAAAATTCTAGATTGTAAAAATAAGCTTTCATGAAAATATAAAGCATTGTGACTTTATATTTTTTAAAGATTGTTTCAGTCCTTGCCCTTTCTTTGGGGGATTATTTAACACGCCCCCTTTTATGTACTACTAGAAGAGCTACTAGAGGAGTATTCTGGCCATTGAGTTAGATATACAATTGCTCACTATTATAAGGGTGATCTGCAGTACATGGCAAAGGAGGCAGCCATTTTTTAAAGTGTCAGCAGCCATTTTGAATTTTCCAGAATTCAACAGGAACACAGAGTAAAGCTTTTGGGGATCCTACAATACATATTTTAATTTTAGTAGTCCTGGTCTCTTAAAATAGATGTGTTTGTCCTGGCACATGTTTTTCTCATTTTTCTGTCTTGCATTCCAGTGGGCTTCGTTTGTGATTGGTCACTGAAAAGTAAATGTAGCAGTAAATGATTCTTAAATCAGACCACAAAGCCCTTAGGTATGAGGAAATTGTGTTGTGCAAGGAAGAACCGACTCATTGCAAAAACACATCATTTCCCTTAACATCTACAGTGGGGTCTTGACTTAAGAACGGCTCGAGTTAAGAACATTTTGACTTAAGAACCGCTCTCATAGGAAAATATTGACTTGACTTAGACTTAGATTTGAGCTAAGAACTGAAAAAAACCACGTGGGAGGCAGGGAAAGTGCAAAATTTGAACTTTCAGTTAACTGTTGGCCAGTGAAAAGGGTGCCTGTCTGCTTCCTCACTCCTCCCAGCGTTTAGAGAGTGGATTGGGAGACAGTCTTCGGACTGCCTGGACTGTATTTTCCCTGCCTTCCCTGAACCTTTCTTGACCTAAGAAAAAAAGAAACAAAATATCCCTCTCTAGTGGTCGAAGGCGGAATAGCAGCTTCCCATTAGTTTCTATGGACGGAAAAGAGCAGATACGGATCAAATGGTTCTCAATGCATTCCTATGGGAAATGCAGATTTGACCTGAGAACTTTTTGACTTGAGAACCGCCTTCCAATACGGATTAAGTTCTCAAGTCAAGACCCCACTGTAGTGTGATCCCAGGAAAACCATATGGTATCTCCTGTTTTCTGACAAAATCATTCTGCTTTACCAGAAGAGAAAGAAACAGCTGACAAAAGAAACCAGCTGATTTCAAGGTGTCTTTTATCAGTTCAGTACAGCCCTAAACTATACTGTAAGAATTAGAGATTGGCACAAATTTAAAAATGAATCACCAAATTCATTCAAAAATCACTAATTCGCTGAATCATATTCAGATGAATCAATGCCCCCCAATGAATACAAATCAATTTGTTTGGCTCCAAAATGGCCCTCAAGGCACTTTGAGATACCAAGATTGCAGGGAAGCTTCCTCTGACTACCCTCTACAATTCTTCCAAGTTTAGTGAAGATTGCCCCCCCCCCTCAAGCCAGCTGCTAAAGGGCACTTTGATTCATCAGGAAAAAAAATGTAAATTCATAATTTGAGGTTTGTTGACCTTGATGAATCACAAATCAAATTGAATCACCATTTTCCTGATTCATGCCCATTTCTAGTAAGAATCTTCACTAATTCCATAATGAGCATAAATACAGGGAGCCCAACACAATGAGGAACAAAATCAGAGGCAAATTCTGAACTTCAGGAGTTTCCTCTGCCCCCTACTCTGTCTCTCCATGTGGTTTTCTTTTCTGTTTAATTCTCAGCCAGCACTATTACAATGATATTAGAATATTTTACTTGTAGAACTCAAGGAGGGAGTCAAACACGGACGTCAGGTGCCTTACCCAAGGGCAACAGTGGAGGGATTGATACAGTTGGAAAAGAAATACTGTATAGAGGTCCTGCTGCCTAAATGACAGTATTTCCCCTGACCTGAGACTGCAAAATTTATCTTTCCACTTGTAAACTCAGCCTGAAATCTTTCTAAGACAAGCATCACATGTTTGCAATAACCTGCTTACAGTGCATGTCCAGTTTTCAAGTGATTTCTAGCATTAAAGCAGGACTTGTAGTTCCAGCTGCCAGCTCACCAATACTTGGAGGCTTCCTGGCTACTGACAGCTCAGAGGGGCAGCAGGTGATCTGATCAACATGCAATGAAAACAGAACTTCCAGAGCCATCCTCTACACACAAACACAACCAAGCAAGAACACAGTCGCCAGCTGGCCAGTACCAAGTTAGCTGGGAAACCTTCCAGCACTGACTGGGTGGCCACATTTTCCTTTCCCAGAGAGCAGCTCCAGCAGCTCCGTTGTCACCACATGTTGAGCGGGCAAAGGACTCCGATGCCCCAAACTCGGCATGTTAGTAACCAAGAAGTTTCCCAGCACTGGCCAGCTGACAACAAATGCCCTACTTTGGTTTTGAAAGGATGGGTTGATTCCATTTGTGAAACGTAGTAGGGCTTGTGTTGGGTGCAGCATTCACAGCTGCTGCAAATTCCACCCATTCCCTGCCTCCAAAGTGCCAATGAGCTGTGAAGTGGGGCGTGAAACAGCTTTTTTCCAGGCCAAAGAAATGGCTCTTTTCAGCCTAAGTGAAAGGGCACTAACCCTCCTCTCTGTTGCCCTTACAGGAAAGAAAGGCGTCCCTGCCTGCTTCCCCGACGTGGACTCCACGCCTGCTGCGACGACAGCCTAGCAGCTTAGATGGCTGGGTGAGCCCGGCCCCAACACCAGAGCCTGAGGAAGGGCTTGCAGATGCCTTCCGGGCAGCCAGTGTCCTGACTCCGCCTCCCCCCATGTCTCCATCTTGGAGCGAAAGATCTCTGTCCCCATTTCGGCAGGAAACGGATCCCAAGTCCAGCCGGCAGATGCAAGCTCTGCTGGCCAGAAACATCATCAACGCTGCCCGGAGGAAGAGCTCTTCTCCCAAAGCAACAGGGGCAGAGACCTTCAGGCCCTTCACTCCCCCTGTGACATCAGCCAATGCGTCATCATCCTCTGGAGGCAGCCCTAAGAGCGTCGGCAACCCTTCCCCAAGCCCACTGCAATCTCCCCGACCAATGAGAATGGATGGGTTCAGGCGTGTCTCTCTCCCAACAGCAATGCCACCAGTCAGTGCATCCTCAAACAACAGTCCCAGGTTGCTAGGCAGCCAGTCCCCAACGTACAAAAGCCCACTACAATCCCCAAAAGCAGGGCGGATGAATGGGAGCAAGTACTTCACACTGCCTGCTAACACTGGGGCTTCGCTCTTCGGTGCAGGAACTTCAGTCATGGTGCCATCCCATAACGGCCCAAGGACAACGGGCCCCCATTCTGTAGCCCAGAGGGATCCAGTGCAGTCTCCAAAACACACAATCATGGATAGTCACAGGATCTTCACGCCACCAGCAGGTCCAAGCAGGAAATCATCATGTACTAGTCCAAAGAATCTGGGCACCTGCTCCCCAACCATGAAGAATCCCCTGCAGTCTTCCACAATGAGCATACCTTCTCCAGAGAAGCGTTCCACCTCCATGTCGCCCACCAACTCAGATGCATCCCTGGACTTTGAAGACTCCGGGATCAAGTCCCCCAGCATTCGCAGCTTTAACATTTGTCCCCGAGGCTGGAACGGAAGCCTGAGGCTGAAGCGAGGCAGCCTGCCTGCCGAAGCCCCCTGTACTTAAATACAGGAAAATAGGAGAGAACTACTGAAAAATGGATAAGCCTTTTGCCAAAATGTGTATGCAGGCTTGCGAGCGACTAATCCTGCCCACTCACTTAAGCATCGGAAGAAAGGAGTTGGCTGTGCAAAGAGGCAACTGCTTCTCCTCAAACCTGCCACTTGCTGTAAGAGAATGAGGTAGAACATTTGTGGAAAAGACTTCTTGGGCCTCAGAGGTGTCCTCTGTAGAAAGAAATGTGGCTGCAGTTCCGCTTTGATCCCAACATTCTATATTTCTACAGGAAGTCTATTTGTACCTCCCATATCACTGCATTTGCTTATGTATTTGGCTTTCACAAGCTTTGATTTATCTGTCTTCACTGGACTGGAGCTACCAGGAGATTAATGAGACTTTGACTGCTCTTATTCTCATTCTGAAATATCCTTGCAAGGAGGACAATCACACACACACACATATAGTCTCCCTCTCCCCCCCACACACGCACACACACAATTAGTAACACAATCCCCAGCAGATTGTCAGTGGAAGACCGGCCTTCTGCCTGCCTCATGTTACAGTCATTGTTTTTCCTCTGCTCTGATGAGGCCATGAATCAAGTTTCCCTCCACTCCAGTTGTCTGAGAGAATCGGCAGAAAGTGGGGAACGGAGGGCAAGAAGACCACCCAACAGTTATCCCTGGGTGATTTAGTGTTTCCTATAAATATGAGGCTTGACTTTTTTATGTATCCTTTAAACTCAGAGAAGAAGCCTTCACAATATACTGCTCTCTGGACTGCTGAAGGTGAGACACCCTAGGAAACTGTATGATGAAGAGAGAACTGGAGTTGCTGTTTATATAATCTTATACTGTAAATATGTAGTGACAGAACGGGATACATCGCTGGTATACCAATGGAATGGCTGAGGTTTTTTAGCCATACTCAGCCCAGGTTCTGGAGGGGTGTGGGAAGCACGCACACACACATGCACAAACACACATACACTCACACAGACAAGGAGCACACCCTTTTTCCTGGAAATGCTGTCAAACATTCACCAGTTAGGAACTGTGCTGGCAACAGTTGACCATACTTATTTCCCATAGATGAACAGAGTCCATTAACTCACAATGATGGAGGTATCCCCACCACTGGCACACTCTGCACAGTACAGTCCCCAAACATCCCTACAGGCAGTGGTTCTAATCCGGCCTTTACAGACAGCCTATTCAGGAGGAGCACCGCATGGAGCACAGCCTGACTGCTGCATGGCCTACCAGTCAAGCCCCCCTTCTCCTGGTCATGCATGTCTCATTTACAGGCAGGATGCTATATTGCCCAATGGACACAGCAAAGCTGCAGCCTCTGTTGCTCAGGATCTGAGATGGAGGTGATCTTGACAAGGCAGGTCTCTTGGGAGCATGAGGTTGCGTGTGCAACCATGAGGTTGCGTCAAACTCCGTGTGTGGCGACACGTATTCAGCCCCATGCATTGGAGCATTGATCCTGCATCATCTGCTTGACCAGCTCTGGCAGCAGCTGGAGTGCAGGGCCTGTCTTTTGGTAACTGAAAATTCATCTGAGTGTGAGGAGGGAGAAAAGCACGAGAATAGCACAGTTTTAACCAAGCACAAGATCGAGGGAGAAAAGCACGGGAATAGCACAGTTTTAACCAAGCACAAGATTCATGTGGGACAAAGTTACAGCACCAATGGTTTGTAACATGATCACCTGCCCCTCCAGTTGTAGAAGTAGGTTCTTATCTCCAGAGTCCCAAGATGAGGTATCTGTGAATCATCATCAACATATGCCATTGTCAGTTCTGACTTATGGCCACCCTCTCCAGGGTTTTCCAGATAGAGAATGCTTAGAAGTGGTTTGCCATTTCCTTCTTCTGGGTGTAGCCTGGGACTGACTGTGCAGCTTGCCCAAGCCTTCTTCTAAGCGTGGCCTGGGACTGACTGTGCAGCTTGCCCAAGGCCAAACAGGCTGGCTCTGCTCACAGCGGGGAATCAAATTCCCAACCTCTGGGTCCTTGGCCAAATACATAAACGACTGAGCTGTCCAGCCAGCTGTGTCTGTGAGGATCTTAGTCAGAAAAGCAGCGTGATCAAGTTCAGAGACTCTTCAGAGCCTTATGGAAAGCGTGGCCTGGGACTGACTGTGCAGCTTGCCCAAGGCCAAACAGGCTGGCTCTGCTCACAGCGGGGAATCAAATTCCCAACCTCTGGGTCCTTGGCCAAATACATAAACGACTGAGCTGTCCAGCCAGCTGTGTCTGTGAGGATCTTAGTCAGAAAAGCAGCGTGATCAAGTTCAGAGACTCTTCAGAGCCTTATGGATCTTTAGTGCCCATGGTTTTGCCTTCTAAAGTCTCCTTGTGTGTGATGTTATATTTGCATAAAATGTGGCTACGGAGATATACAGCTCTGTACAGTATACTCTTTATCCAAACGGGATTCTCCCACTTTGGGCTTTAAAAATTGGTGGTTGTGAGCTATGATGGATGCTGAATTACATCATTTCCTATGCTTTCTTATGGCAACAAGGACAGGGGAGCCACTGAGATGAGAGAGGCTATTTTAATCCTACCCCTTGATAAAGGAGACAGATTTTATGCACCAGGTCCAAGGCTGGTATAAAGTTGCAGCATCATGTGGGGTGTAGATTTGATTTTATTACAGGGTAGAGTTCTAAATGTGTGCTCCTCCTTCTGCCACCCTGTCTCATTGACCTTCTGTCTCACCCCACCCCCTTTTTAGCCAAAGCTTAGAAAAAGTACTTGGCTATGCTGACTGGAAATTCTGGGAGTCCAAAAAAAAGTACCTTTTCCAAGCTGTAGTGATAGCAGTGGCAGCAGGTGCCTATTCTGCTTGGGGAGGCGGGCAGAAGGCACAAACAGGAGGATACATTCTAAGACCAGGAAGGAAACACAGATAGGGGGCCCTGATCGTCCAGTTCCTGTGAGGAAGAAAGCAAGTGTTGATGGGCTGTTGGGTAGCCTGAGGTAGCACAGTGCCCTGCTTGCTCTAGTGGGTGAGCTGCTGTTTCATGGAGCTGATCTGCCAGGAGCTGCAGCATATCTGGACAATTCTGCTGGCAGATCTATGGTGCTGGTGGCGTTTTTTTGTGTTCTGCCAATGTAGCATGGCATTTGCCTGTGGCCCCCACAGTTGAATATAATATTGGTCCTGGAATCACAGAGAGAGGGGGAGAGGGAGGGAGAGAGAGGGGCAGGGAGAGAGAGAGAGAGAGGGAGGGAGGGAGGGAGGGAGAGAGAGGGGGGGAGTGAGAGAGAGAGAGAGAAAGAGAGAGAAAGAGAGAGAGAAAAGAAAAACCTGGAATTCTTCCTTCAGAGAAAGAAGCATGAGCCCAACATTTGAATAGACCATGATGAACACCATGTGCTCCCAACAAGATACATATTTCAAAGCTAGCATCTCTAGCTTAGTGCCTAAACATCCTCTTCTTTATTGGGGGCTATCAAGCTCTTTACATAAACCTAATCTTATGGAGGACAGGCACCAAACCTGCTTGTCTAGAGATCTTCTTGAGCCAGACATGGATACAAAAGTCTATAGCATGGATCTTTTAAGCTAGGAAGACAATAGACAACTGGACTGAAGTTAAGGACTGAGGAGGGCCCCAAGCACTCATTAGTTTACCAAGGACCAATAATTGCCTACTGATTTCCCATCCCTCCTTCTACAAACTGTTCTCATATTTGTGACAACAAAACCATCAGAACGGTATCGGGCTGTTTAAAAGTCTGCAGGGAACCTAGAGTAAGGCCAATAAAAGGAGGAGGAGAAGAAAACATTAGTTTGGTTCCTCCTGAACTGGTTTAAGAGGCTGGAGGAGTTCTTGATCAGTGACAATGGGGGTTGCAACTCCCAGCCTCTCCTAGTGGCCATGCAGGGTGGAGGATTGTGGGAGATGTAGTCCAAGAAATCAACTTTTTCTAGCTCAGAAAAACCTTTAAAACTATAAATTGCCCAATTCCTGTGGATGAAAATATGGGTTAAAACAGAGGGTTTTCTGCCCAGGAAAGAGGGAGAACTGTCTTTAAAATGGGAAAATAAGTTCCCAGTTGACTTACTTCACAGGTTGATAACAATCAGAGCTTAAGGGTGTTATTTTTTCCAACTACAAATCCCAGAATCCTCCAACCCAAGTTTTCTTAATAATCAAGTGCCATTTATATTCACACTGTCTGATGATCTTACTTCTCCAGTGTGACCACCTGCAGCTGACTTTTTTTTTGCCTTGGCCATAGGCTGTGTGATATGTACTGTATCATGTAGCTGATGCTCTGACCATCAGGCTGTATCAGATGTTTCCCCGGCTTGCCCTCAGTTCTGCTGTGTCGTCCTCTATATTTATCCCTGTAACCTTTAACGCCAGCCATGTGGATTCAGTGTTGATTCAAGGTGAGCTACAAAAGAAGAAGCCTCACTTGTCTTTGTTTTCTCCCAGTCACGCATAGTGTAAGTGGGAGTCGCAGGTGTCTGTTGTGGTGTCAGGCTGTGGGTTCCTTAGAAACAGTCCAGCGCAGGTTAACCAAGTGTATCACGAGGCATCAGCATTATATTGTTTTAGCAGTGCAGCTTCACAGCAGGGAGAAGTCAAAAGTCTCCCATTTAGAGATAAGGAGAAGAAGACAGCTATCCAAGTACCTCCAGTGCAACCATGTGGAGATCATGGGCACTGCTGAAGAAGACAAAACAACTGGACAGAGATTTTGGATTCTTACAGCCAAGAGCACAAGAGGGACATCCTCTGAAACGGAACAGTGGAGGACTCATAACAGAGGAAAAAGATAGATTTCTTCACAGAGCAGAATGCTGGACTAGTTTGGCCTTCAATCTAATCCATCAGGATGTTTATTACATTCTTCTGAGCTTACAGACATGAATGAAGGACATGGTTCTCTGGTGGAAAGGTTGTAGCTTTGAAGTATAGCACATGCTTTGCAGTCCAGCACATGTTTTGCAGGAAGAATGGCATGGGTTCAATGCCTGGTATCTCCTGGTAGGGCCGTGAAGGACTTCTGCCAGAAATCCAACAGAGTTGCTGCCAGTCAGGGCAGACATGACTGGGTGATATGGGCCATGGGATCTGGCTTGACATAGAGCTGATTCTCATCCTAAGGTGATCTGTCAAGAGAAGGTTTTTGTTTTCAAGGAAGGAAAGCTAAAGTCTGTAAGGAAGGCCTCATAGATTTCTGTCTCCACCCTTTCTGCTCCCCCTTCCTGTACTAATTTGGGGTTTGTGGTGTTATTGGGGAACCAGCAGTGGTCAGCAGTCGTAGAGGTTCATGGGTGCTGAAGCCAAGATTTTGCTTCTCTGACTTCTGCCTTGACTCAGCACCACCACCAAAAGGACATAAGAACACCCAGTGCTGCTGAATGATTGCTGCTCTACAGCTGCTGAGCTTTCTGGGGCCTAGAGGTTAAACAGATACTTTGCCGCTGCTCTGGTTACACTGGAGGAATGGTAAGGGAGAGAAGACTATCGTATCTCAGATCCCACACCAAGGCCTCTGTTGTGACTGATTGGCTGGAGCGACACATTGCAGTCCCACAGGCAAGGAGCTTATAGTACATCAAGTGCCTTTCTCAGGTAGCTCTTGGGCCAGTCAACAGGTCCTTGGAGAGGGTGGGGGAGGTGGAAGTAAGGAAGGGGACAAAGAAAGGTAGTGGCGCCCTCTAGGGGTGCACGGTGTCCACTAAAAGAATCTGATGCTAAGAAGACTGTCTGCAAATCATTCCTTAGATGAGTGTAAGCGCAACACTGATTGCAGAGCTTTGCACAGGGATGACCCTGTAGTGGAGAGAAAGCTTTGTCACCCGGGAAGCTCTTGTTTAGTTAGTGAAGGAAATTGTGCATGTTGTTGAGTGTATGGAAGAGAAGCGCTGATCTGGGGGAAGGTGTTGTTAAAGGAGGAAAAAGCCTATATATATACAGGTATATCAATAATAGGCTTTCTTCTGTTCCAGGAAGTAAGAACATAGGGAAGGGACCAAATGCAAAGCACAGAAGCTGTGGTGTGTTTCTGCTCTTTGCCCTGAACGAAGCTTAAGATTTGTGGTTTCCTTAGATAAATTTTTAAAATAAAAATGTAAAAAGGCTATTTGAAAGAGAAAATACATGTCGGTGTTTTCCAATATAGTATCTAAACTCCTCTCTCTCTCCTGCCCTAAATCCTGAAGCCAGGGAGAGGGACAAGTGGCTCTCCAGATGTGGTTAGACTTCACCTCCCACCGTTCTCCATCATTGCCGGAGTTCTCTAAGGCTGGGTGTCGTCTCACCTCGTCTGGAGGGCTATAAAGTGTATCTCCTTTTCACCTCAGAAGAGTAAAAGCCTTAAAGGAGGTTATATGAGGGGGAGGATGTTTAAAGGTGGCTGATTTGTATCTCCTGCTCTTAATTTACCCATTCTGCTTCACTCCCCGGTTTTATCATGTGACGCCTCCTGCGGCAGAAACATACAACGCATGCCCATGTTCTGGCCGCCAGCCACAAGTCAATAAGCTTCACTTTCCACTTATTGATCCAAGTTTGTTAAGGGCCTTATACTCTTCCATGGGATAATCCAGGCCTACTGC